TTTCATGAAGCGTTCCAAAATTAGCTCCTAGCCACTAAAAGTTGGTTAAGCTTAAATGAAATAGTTTTTTATTAAATATTTATTCCTGGTATTTAGTAAAAATCATTCATCTCAATACTAATATATGAAATGAAAGTAAATAAAAATCTACGAATACATTTCATGAATATTTTGTCATAGGGCTATTATTAAATACAGACATAACTTTGTCGGGCGTGGTTACTGACGTATATAGAATTATAATGCGTTGGAGAGAGATAAATATACAAGTTCAACGCGCTAATTTAGGTATCCTTGTATGTGTATACCTGTTACTCGTCTGGCATATACTCCAACTGCGAAAATAATGACAATTATAATTTATGTAGATCCCTGGATAAAAGATTGTCACAAGTTACTTTCGGTAACTCACGATTGAAGTTTGGAATGCAATTTCTCAGAAACACGACTACAGATTTTCTCCAAAGTGTCGGAGAATGCTATGTACTAGTTCATGAAATTCTTAAATTATCTTATTTTTTTAGTTTAGTGTCAACCATTTATGAGTTTAATAAAATTTTTTCGTATACGACATTTGTCAAAAAATTTTTTTAGTGATATGCGCCAAAATGTGATGACAATTTTTATAAATTAACTATACTTTTTACTAATCAGCCTAATCGTGAGTTTCGCCCGAACAAAATTTCGCCAACAATTTTTTCATCCACCTGTAGTGAACACACGCAAACGAAAAGTAAAAAGTGACCCGGTTCTAGAAAATGAAACTCATGATAAAGCTGAATATGTCGGAAACTAAAAAAGAACAGATAACTCTATTTGAAAGATTTTGATTAGTTTAGTACGACAGCAATACTAACGCAATATGTACCAAATAACCGAAAACATTTTAGTCAATTACTCGGAAACTAAAGAAGATATCCAAAAACCACAAATTGTCAAAATGACGCTTCCGGAAATTTTCCATCCAAGCGACGATATTTGAATGTTACTCACATATTTTCGAGCCTGTATGTAAATTTTCGGGAGAAAGGTTAAAAAGTATATTCATCTGCTGAAAAGATATTTTTGCAGATTCACAATTTATTTAAAATAAATCTATTAGCCCAATCTCCAATTCCATGTGAATAAATCTCCCCAGTGCTTAAATAATTTTCACCACATTAAATAGCTGCACAACACCCTAATTGCCGTAAAAGCGTTGCTTGCAATACTAGTCCTTTATGGGGACCAAACTTGGCGATAAAAAAATAGCTAAGTTTGTTTACTGGATATACTGAGGGTTAATTATTGGAAGGTTTTTTTGTAACTACCCGTATGTTGTTTGTTGAATAAAGTGTAAAGCTGAAATTAGTCGAGAACGCAGAACGTATACTTAAACTCAGTCTGTATACGCAGAATTTTGTCGATTACTGGAGCCCTCAGTGTTGCTTACTACACTGTTGCCACTCTTCAATGCCTTTTCATAAACTTACCCTTTCAACCACAATTTTTCGTGCTATAATAGATTGTAACTAAATATAAACTACTTAGTTTTCAACAAAAACCTTATTTAATAGTAAATTTCAAATATTTTAAACATATTTCGAATAGGAACTTATAACTTTTTTACCATTTGCAAAACTGACGAAGTGGCAACCATCTAAAGAAGGAGAAATCAGCTGACACGGAAAAATTTAAATTCCGCAGATTTCTGCGCTACGGGCTACAACTACAGAAAAATTCTGCGGTGTTGAGTTTTCATTTACATGGCGCTTTGGTAAGACAGATCGTGTCAGCTGACTCGGGTTTACGTACCGGTAGGTTTACGTTCTTGACTAATTTCAGCTTAAGAAAACGGCTGAGGAGCGATTTTTATCTAAATTGTTTGCGGATAAAAAATAAAGAAGTCTAATCAGAAATGGCGAAAACTAAAGTTTATGTGGTTGGTGTAGGAATGACCAAGGTGGGTTGGTTCAATGGCAACTAATGGTTGCAACAGAAATGCGGTCGTTGTTATGATGAACTTTGCACTGCACTGCAAAGTGCTGCGTCATGAAGTACCACAAGTAAAGATATGTACATACATATTCATATTTGTACGTACATATTTGTATATACATATGTATGTATAAGAGATTTATTAAGTAGGAGACTTGTTTACAAGGCTGGTAGATCCACCTATGTCATACTGGACTCATGTTGTCTGTATGTATGTATATATGTATACTGTATACACTTATATTCTTTCTCCGATAGTTCGAAAAGCCCGGCCGCCGTGCCGATATCTGCTACCCAGATATGGCGAAAGAAGCCATTTCTAAAGCTCTAGAAGATGCACGACTTAATTATTCGGAAGTGCAGCAAGCTGCCGTTGGCTATGTTTATGGTGATTCAACTTGCGGACAAAGAGCTATATATGGCGTTGGTATGACTGGCAT